AGCACAGATGCCCTGCACCCCCCCCCCCCCCCCCCTCCCCCCCCAGGGCGGCGTCGAGGATCACAAAATGCCCTGGCGAACCACATAGTCTCACAGACCATTGACACTCCATTTATCCTCTTCTCCCCCCCCCCTCTCTCTCTCCTCCCCCTTCTATCCGCCGTTCCCATCACACAGCTCACGCAAGAAGCAGGCCGCTGTGTACACCGCACTGGCCGATTCCAATGCCGACTTGCGCGGTGAATGCGATGACCTGGTGGAACAGCTCCAGGAGGAGTTTGCCGCCATCCAGGACCTTGAGCACCAAGCCTCATTGGCCGGCATGCCGATTGAAACGCTGATCGGCAACATGCAGGGGCTGGCTTCCCCCCCCCCCCCCCCTCCTCGCGCCCTCCTCGAACCGTGGGCCAGCAGGGCAAACAGTGGCACGCAGGGGGCGCACGCATGTTGCCGCATTGACCCGTGCTCCGATGTGCCAGCCACTGGGCAAGCATGCGAGTAAACAATTGTGTCGGCACAATTGCGCATCTGTGCTCGCGCGCATGCTTCTACATGCGCCTGCTCGCTTCACGCACGGACGCCAGTCACCATGTTCTCCCCCCCCCCCCCCCCCCCCCGCGCCCCACGAGAGGCCCGGCACCCGGGGCCCCCCGAGGCAACATGGCTCCTCGTCTGCAAGGCGGCAGGGCCCCGGGGTTCGGTCGCGGCCCCTTCCCCCCGGGGCCCGTGGAAGAGGAATCATGTATGGGGAACGGCGTGCTGGCCTTCGCCGGCTTGGATGGCCCCCGCTCCGTGCTCTTCCCCCTCGTTTCCAGGTAGTGAGATCAGTTTGAACATGCACCCCGGGCCCAGCGATACCACGCGTCCAGGTCCCTCTTACACCCACGGCAGCCACCCCGATGGGACATCCTGTGAAACAGGCAGACGCCCCCCGCCCGGCCTCCCTCCCTTCAGCCCTCCGGGGCACTTGTCCACAGGGTGCGCCATGAGCCTGGAAGTGGCAACTGGCAACGCTTTAAACCGCCTCCCCGGCCTAACTCCGCGTCCCCTCCCCCCCCCCCCCCTCCGTCTCTTGTTCCCGTACGCACAGCGCTTACATTGTCCCCGAGCCAACCGCCGACCCCAAACACCCAGGTATCTTGCCCACCTCCTGCCCCCTCGCCGGGTGCTGCTGCATCTGTCTCGCGCGCGCGCGCGCGCGTGTGTGTGCGCCCAGCATCTATCCCTCTCTCTCTCTCTCTCCCAGCCTCCTATCAGGGGCTGCACGCAGCTCACGGT